CTTTTCTGTTCCTTGTAAGGTTCAACCTGTAGGTTTTAATACCACATCCTGTTTTTATAGTCCTGGGAGGAGTCCTAGTTTTCATATAGAAATGGGCGATGTTTCCTTTGCCGGTTGTGATGGGGTCATTATGTCACCGGATCTATATGTCTAGGCTCAGATAAAGTTTTCGTGTGTGGTAATAAGGCCTACCCTGCTCTCCCTCGGAATTGCACTGGTCTTTGCGCACCAGCTGCCCTGTTACCTGATGTAAATATATTCCCTGGAGATGCGCCCGTCCCCCTACCGAGCTTTGATACCTTTAACCCCCAGCCTTTCCCTTTGTTCCCACCCTTGTGGGGCTACGCGTTACCGGCGGCCTTGCCTCTGGATTAGCTGGGGTAGGCATGTCAGCTCATCTGTCTCAACAAGTTAGACAAGATATTCAATTAGTCTACGAATCTGTGAAAGATATTCAAGATCAGGTTGATTCCCTTGCAGAGGTCGTGTTACAGAGCAGGGGGGTTAGACCTCCGGCAGATGAGGGAGGCCTCTGGCCTTACAGGAACAATGCTGCTTGTGCGAGACCGAATCCAACAACATCAAGGAAAGCTTCGAAGCGGCGCAGAGAACTGCTTCAGAGCCCTGTATGGGCAGCCTGGGGCGGGACACTGCCATACTTCCTGTGTTGGGACTCCTGTCAGCCTTTTATTGATTGTTTCCTTTGGCCCTTGTATTGTAAATCGTATCACTCCGTTTGTTCGGCAGCAGATCGACTCTGTCAGCTAAACCCACCCAGATTCGTTATCGTTGTTGGCAGATCAGGGCTACGATGAGCCCATAGCTGATTAAGCTCCAGTGCGGGACTCAGACCCATGCCCGCTTGCTCAGTGCAGCGCTGGGCACCGTGGCAGAGGTGCAGGCAGCGCACTGCAGGGGGAAGGCCGCAAGTCCTGCTTCTGAGTCTCCTGAGAGGTAAGCCTGACTGCATAGGGGTTGGTGTCACTCTGAACCACACAGGCAAGAAGACAGCTCTGCCCCTCCTCTCCAAAAGACACCAAGAGCTGCCAGGTGGCGGGGGCAGCCGATCCCTGCGCCCGCGAGAGGAATCGGGTCAATGCCTCCCTCTCCGGTCAAGGCCCACTGCCCCATTCTAGGCGGGCAATATGAAGAAACATCCTGCCTTCAAACAAAATAAAAAGGGAGGAGATGCCGGGGACCAGACAACTGCCGAACAACAGAAGTGACTCCGCTCTATCAGAGCATAGGTTCCTGTATACCAAGTGGTCAGTGGGCCTACACATGGTATGTAACCGTATCTTTATATTGCCCTGGCAACATATCGGCCTTGACCAGTCTACCCTATTGTGGAAACTCCCCACCCCTGGAACTTCCTCACTGCCTGCTGCTTAAATGCTGCCTGAGAAAATAAAGTTTTTGGAGCTTGAGCAGGCATCCTGTCTTGCTCCAGTCCTTTTGTGAGTCTCCTGTCCCCCAGTCGTCGGTTCTCTCCCCAGGTCTCCATTGAAGACCCTGCGGGCTGGGGCACTGGCCCCGTCTGAGCTCCCCTTGCTGGGCAGGGCCCTTTCTCTGGAGGGGCCACCCCATTCCTGAGTGGCCACCCCATTCCTGGAATGGGCAGGCATTTCCCCCAGGATCTCCCCATGGTGCTGCCCGGTCAGGAGGGGCCAGGGCCTTGCGGGGACCTCCCAAGGGGACCTGCACACCCCTGAGGCTCTGCCCCCAACCCCGCAGGAGAAGGATTGATGGGGAGCTTGTGTATACAGAGGCCCCACGTGGGGCACAGCCTCCAGGGTCGTGGGAGAGGAGGCACTAGGAGGCCTGGAACTGGTCCATAGTTCTAAGGCACAGCTCACAGGTTGCACACCTGATCTGATCTGGAAGGAAGCTCCGAGACCCAGCAGAGGGCACCTAGAGCAGCCTTTGCCTTCAGAGCTGGGGTACCCGCAAGGCTGCTGCCACATGTTTGGTCCCCGCCTCTGCCCACCCAGGACATTGAACTGGTCCCTGGAGTGACCCCACAAGCCGGGCATGACCTTCCTAGAAGGGGCGGGAGGTGTGGCCAGGGGGCCGTGCCATGCTGGGAGCCTGCAGGGTCACTCCTGGTCTGTGGCCTTGCGTCACTGCCCCCTGCCCCTTGTGGTGCCCTTCCACTCCAGTTAGGTTTCACTTTCATTTCCCCAGAGCAGTTCCAGTCCAGTGGCTCTAGGCCAGCGTCCAAAGGCCTGACGACCACAGGAGGAAGAGTGTGGGTGGAGGAGGTGGACCTCCCAGGAGGGGGCGGAGCCTGGGAGGTGGAATGCCTGTGGTTAGGGAAACCAGGGTCTGCACTCCCTGGCTGTGGTGCTGCTGGACCCATTGCTAGGCTGAGATGTGCCCACATACCAGGGTGCAGGGTCCCAGGGCTCTGGGCCGTCCTCGACTGCTTCCCCAGGCCACAGCAGGGAGCTGGATGGGAAGTGGGGCTGCCGGAATTAGAACCGGCGCCCATATGGGATCCCGGCACGTTAAAGGCGAGGACTTTAGCCACTAGGCCACCGTGCCGCCAAGCCCCACAATTTAGTTTTAAAGCAAGATTTATTAGAAAAGTTGAGAAAAGAGGCTCCTGTCCTAGTGATGTGAGGGAGGCTCTGAGATAGAAAGGACCCTTGCCTCCTGCCATAGTGGCAGGAGGAAAAGTGAAATGACCCATATTAGTGGTGGGGAAAGCACCTTGTAAAGATTTACTTCCAAGGGGCTCTCCAAGGACATAAGGAAATTCCTGGTACCTCTGGTATCTGGCTTTGGGGCAAAAGACCGGACAGGTGTCAGACACTGGACATTCCTGGCCTCCAGTCCTTCCACGATAAGGGACCAGCCTGAGGCCCTCCCGCACAGTGGCTGGAGATAATGGCTGGTATTTCGGGCGGGGAATTGTCCCTTGGAAGACACTGATGCTCTGATAAATCCAAGACATCATGGGAAAATACCCCAAAAAATATGACTTGGGGACCCAGAATGCCCTAACTGCCTACCACGCAGTCTGACTCCTCACACAGCCCCGTACTGAGTCTCAATGCGGGTTTTGAGGAGAGGTACTTTGTGGCTGGGGTGGGGAGGCACTGCTGTGTCCACCCGGTACTTGGAGTGAGGAGCTCCGGGACCTTCTGGAAATGTCTCCCGATGGGCCAGCTGCCCTCTGGCGCCTCCAGCAGAAGTGAGTCTGTAGGGTTCAGAGACCATAACACGAAGCCTCACTGGCCTACCAGTGCCCTGTGTAAGAGGGACCCAAGGACACAGCCATGCCCGCTCCTCCTGCACACCAGCTCCCTTCCTAGATGCAGACACTGAGCTGCCCTCTGGCTCATGCTGGACGCTGTGGTCCACAGTGAGGCCAAGCACCTACTACTAAGGTGCCGGGTGAGCCAAGCAGCAGGTGCCAGAGCCAGGGGCTGCCCAGAGGGCTCATGGGTGTAGGTGGCTCCCGGAGCCCAACAGGAGCCTAGGGTCACAGAGAGGAGTGGGTGGGCCAACCCACAAGTCCAGTTTCTACTTCCCCACAGGGAGAGAGGACCAGAAGTGCCACACAGTGGCCTTGGCCTTGTTCCTGTCATTCTGGGCCCTCTCCCATGCTGGTCACTGCCAGGTCCGGGTGCTCTGGTGAACAGCCCAGGGACAGCCCTTCTGGCTCTGCAGCGGCCGCACTGAGTGCCCCCTGTGCCTGCCCTTTCCTCATCCTTGCTCCTTGATTCAAAGCCAGGTGCCAAGGCTGGCTCCTACAAATGCCCCCACAGGAAGGATGTGGGGTGGTGGGCTCCTGTGGAGCTCCTGAAGTGTCTAGGCCAGACCAGAGACATCGCATGTGCATCCCAGCACCGTGTGCTTGCGCAGTCGAGGTCAGCTTTGACCGAGACCATGGTCACTGGTTGACCGCCGGGCCAGGAGTCACCGGTTCAGTGCTGGGGGCAGCGGGCAGGTGCTTGTTGGTTATCGCACCCTGGATTCTGGTTCCCACATCCCTGGGTGGAGGCCCTCACCTCCAGGAGCACTGCATGTGGAGTCTGTGGGCTAAGGAGTTGATTAGCGCTCGCTGGGCTGGGCAGGAACTGGGCTTGTGGCTAAAAACGCCTAGACTAATTGGACTCATCTATATGCAATATCCTGGCTAAATTAAGACTTGGAGGAAGGAAGAGTGAGTATATAAGGAGAGGTGAAGGAGCAATAAAGGGAGGCTTCCAGCATCACTGGTCTCCTGTCGGTGCTTCATCCCCAGACCCTCTCCCTGTCCACGTTACTGGCTCTGCTGGCCAGAGCAGCCGGAGCCTTAAAGGAGATGAGTGAGGTGTGGTCAGTTGTAAGGTGGGGGTGGGGTCTCCGAGTGGCGTGGTGTGTCCTGGCAGCCCGTGAATTTAGGGATGCCATCTCTTTAACTATGTGCCTGTCAGGTGCATGTTCAGCGTGCCCCCTTCTGATTAGGGGCCCCTCCTTCCTTGCTCTTTCTGCCTCAAATCCTGCTGAGAGCCCTCCCCTGCCCCGCTCTGATTTCCACCCTGCACCATGCAGGGCCTGTGGCTCTCCATCTCTTTCCACCAAGCCGCAGTCTTAGGGGTCTCTCCTACTTGGATAAAGATGCAGTTTTGTTTTGCCTTTTTCTCTCCTCCAGCACACGTGAATGGCTGTGTGTCCCTCCAGTTCCGACAGCTGTTACAAGAGAATACCTGGAGTGGAGATGAACCTCCCCATTGTCCAGTTCACCCGGAAGAAAAGGGAAGGGCTGTGGGAGGGGTGGTGGCGCAGCGATCCTGGCAGCCAGCTCAGGACAGGTGCCTCCCAGCCTGCGTCTGTGGCTGCACGTGGGCGCCTGGGAGCATCCACCATGGGAGTCCAGCAGGTAATACGCCGCCTGCTGCATGGGTGTCTACCAGGGACTTCTCTGTGGTCAGGAGCCAGGCTGCTGCTTTCCCTGTAGGCACTCCCACCACCTTCCAGGCACACATTCCACCTCCAACCCTGTGACAGGCTAGCGAAGCATAATTTTTATTGTCTGACCTTTGAGAAACAGCACAGCATCGAGAAGAAAACACAGCTACCCGCCCTCCCTACCATGTGGGCCTCTGGTTTGGTGTGAAGTTCCAAGTCCAGTAAAATGCTTTGCCTTGTTAAAATTCCTTTTTGGGATGTCACAGAGGCCCCTGCCATGGGAATTTGGCTGGCAGAGGGAGGGATAGGTGCCTCTAGGGACTGGGAGCCTCCAGGGCTGCAACTGTGGGAGGAGGTTCCCTCTGTATCCCCCTCCATCCCTGAAAGTGACAGCCGAAGCTCCTAAGGTCTGGATGGCAGAGACGGTCCTGGACCATCCCAGCCCCTTACAGCCCTGAGCTGTCATTACATGGCCCCTGTGCTCTGGGAGACTGCCCAGCCCCACGCTGGGCAGTGCCTGTGGCATGAGAACGTGAGGGCAGGAGCCAGTGGCAGATGCAGCTCAGGGTGCTGCCTGGAGGCACCGGGACCCCTTCAGGGTGTCCCCTCTTTGGAGAACTGCCAGAGCCTGCTGCGCGCCTGGCTGAGCCTGTGGATCCTGTCCTTGAGCAGCTGCCGCTTGGTGGCCATCTCGCCGTGCTCCTGCAGCAGCCAGGCACACTTGTCCTTCTCCTGCAGCATCTCCATCATGGTTTTCTGCAGGTAGTCGCCGTTCTCCCAGAGGATGAAGAACTGAACCAGCAGCGGGATCTGGTTGGAAAGACGCTTGCTGGCTTCCTGTGATGAATGAGACCAGGTTAGTGGAGAGTCTTGGCCCCCCGGGTGGGGCGGATGGAGACAGCAACCAGTGACCCTGGGGTTCCCTGGTGAGTCCAGGTGCCTGGGGTGCTGCGAGTGTGCAGGTGGCCCATCAAGCTCATGCTGCCTGCTGGGTGGCAGCCTGCCCCACTCCTCCTGCTGCTCTCCGCAGTGTCCTGGGCCCGCTAGTGGGAGGGAGTGGGGAGAGAGGTGTATACTGCAAACACTCCTGTTGGCACCGGCATCATGGGTGAGGGCAGGTGGCTTGGCAGCTGGACCCCATGGTTACGGCCACTCCACCTGCCCAGTTTGGCTTGGAAAAGGAACCATAGTTGGGTTTCCTCACAATCTTTTTTTCTAATTTTCTCTCTTATTTTTTTTTAAATCTTAATTTAATTAATTTATTTTCCCCCTTCACAATTTAGATTCTGTGTTTTTCTGGGACTGGCACTGTGGCGTATTGGCTCATCCTCCACCTGTGTGCCAGAATCCCATATGGGCGCCAGTTCATGTCCCGGCTGCTCCACTTCTCATCCAGCTCCCTGCCTGTGGCCTAGGAAGGCAGGGGAGGACGGCCCAGCTGCTTGGAGCCCTGCACTCATGTGGGAGAACAGGAGGAAGCTCCTGGCTCCTGATTGGCTCAGCTCAGCTCTAGCCATGGTGGCCATTTGGGGAGTGAACCAGCACATGGAAGATCTGTTTGTTTCTCCTTCTTTCTATAAATCTGCCTTTCAAATAAAAATAAATAAATCTCTGATAACATTTTCTGTGCTTTCCTGTGCAGTCTCACACCTGGGACGGAGCAGAGGGACAGAAAGGGGAGTGGAGGGCACCGGGACCCGGGAAGGAACTCTCCTTCCCTCCAGGGTGGGGACAGGGAGGCTGGCAGTGCTGGGGCTTCCCAGTGCCCAGGAGGCTGATTCCAGCCAGCGTGGCTCACTGCTTCCTGCGACTTGCAGTGCCCCTGGTGTGGTATGAGGTGCTCCAGAGCAGGTGTCGCTGTCACCTTCCCCCACACAGGGGAGCTGAATTCACAGCGGCTCCAAGGTTTCCAGGAAGACTGTGGGTGACGTGGGGTGGGCGGCTGAGAGCACAGCAGGGCGGCTCACCAAGCAATATGCCTCCACATGGGTGGCGATTTCAGTCTTGCAGGAGACGGCAGATGGGTTGCTGGGCGTCCCCAGGATGGCCATGGGGAGGGTCTGTGCTGGCTTCGCCAGGGGCTGAGACGCCTCCTGGCGGACGTCCTGGAGAACCGCGCTGTAGATCTTGTCCTGGCAGTAGATGAGTCCTTCCATGTCAAACTGCAGCCGCACCATGCGCTCTGCCTTCTCCATTTGTACCTCTTTTAAGTTCTTGATCTTGTTCTGGTTGGATGAGAAGGGTGGTGTGTGACAATGGGTGACATGGTGACAGTGGATTCACACACACACACACACACGCGCGGTCATGGCGTGTAACAGCACGCCATTCCTCAATTTCCCAAATCCTTGCCCCCAGGGAGGGGAGACGGTGGACCTTTGGGACGCTGTGATATTGTGCGGGCCCTCATGGTGGTGCCCTTGTGGAAGCAGAAGTCCTGGACAGCGCTCTTGCTTGCTGTCCACCTGTCGAGGACGTGGGAGAAGGTGGCTGCTGTTTCCAAGTCCAGGGACACCCTCACCAGAGCCCAGCCAGGCAGTCCCCAAACTGGGAGGCAGCCCCCAAACTGGGAGGCAGCCCCCTACTGGGGCTGATCCTGCTCTGCAGGTCTGCATGGCAGACTGAATCCACGCCGAAGTTCCTGCCTGCCTGCCTGCCTGCCTGCCTGCCTGCCGGGTCTCACACAGACTTGGGGACTGGAGGCTCAAGGTTGGGGCTTGGAAGAGGTTGAGGAGGAGCACAGCCATGTGACAAAGGGTGTGCAGGGAGGTGGTATGGGCCTTGGTGAGATGAAGGGAAGGAGGCTGTGTGTCCTAGAGGCAGCAGGGATGCAGGTCCCAGAGGAGTGCTGGGCTGGCAGCAGCATCCTGTGGTGCCTCCCAGGCTGGCCAGCCCAGGCAGGCACCAGCCCTGCAGAAGGCCCCAGGGCAGTGAGCCTGCAGATGGGGGAGTCCAGCAGCCAACCAGGGAAGCCCCAAGATTCGAGCAATGCTGACCAGGACACCAGAACCAGTCCCCACCCTGAGTCCCCCGGTACCGTCCAAAACTCCCTTTGTCACTCAGAGCAAGGCCCCGCCCCACAGCTCATGTCAGGCAGGTGGAAGAGGTCAGCGTGTCCCCGTTCTTCTGGCTACTCTGGGAGCTGAAGTCCCCAGCCAGCCTTCGCCCAGCCCACCTGCCGGCCCAAGGGTGGGCAGCAGGCTGTGTCACCCCCAGGCACTTACCTGGACCATCTGATGAAGGTTGAAGAAGTCGTTGAAATGCTTGACAGCCACTTCACAGAAAGCCTGATGGACGATTTCTAACCAAGGTAAGAACAGAACATGGGTGAGATGCAGCAGGACAAAGCCCCACGCAGGGCAGAGCGCCCCAGAGGCAGGGGAAGGGCTGCACCTGGGGCGCCTCCCGCCCTGCCTCCTGCCTTGAGCTCTCGGCAAGGGTGTCACTGGACCATTCCTCCGTGCTCTGCTGGGAGCTGTGCACGGCGAGACGTGGGGCCCGGGCTGCACGGCGAGACGTGGGGCCCAGGCTGCGGGGCCGTCCCCCCCAGCTCCAAGCCTCCCAGGGCCCTGTGAGGCAGGCAGGGGCTCACCGGCGGTTTTGAGGACCACCTGCAGCGCAGGGCTGAGCAGCTGCCTGATGTGCTGCTGTACGATGCTCTCAAAGGTCTTGTAGCTGATGAAGCCAGGAAGCTCCTTCCCCCGGTACTGGCTTTCGTATTTGGAGATTTCTGCCTGGATGCTGTTTTTCGCTGAAATGTAAAAATAAACCTTTCACAAAATGGTCTGCTTCATTCTACAGCGTCTCCCTGCTGACAGCGGGCACGGGCAGACAGCGCCTGGCGGGGCCTGGGCACTGCAGCCGCAGCCCTCACCTGCCCGTCCTCTGCAGCTGAGTTCCTGTGGGAGTGTGCCTTGCTCAGGGACCCTCGGGGAGCTGCACACAGGACTGCAGGGGGAGAGGGGCCACACACACCACACAGCACACACACACAGCATGCACACACAGCACACACATACACACCACACAGCACACACATGCCACACCTCAACACCACATACACTGCACAGCACATACAACAACACACATATATACCACACAGCAGATACCATACACAGCACACAGCACACACTGCACACATAGCACATACAACACACAGGTACCACATACACACCACACAATACACACAGCACAGACCACACATATCACACACAAGCCACACACATAGCACTCACATACACATACCACAAACCACACATACACCACACCACATACACACCATACAAGCCACATACCATAATCCTGCATACCCCTACACACCTCGCATACTACACACTGCACACCACACACACACCCCACATAACAGGTACACACACCACACGATGCTACACACACACACTGCACAGAGCACATGTACCACACCCCCACATACCCCCTCACACAGCACACACACCACACACACACACGCCCCCATCACACACTGCTGGCAACTGGACAGGTGAACTTGTCATTGCCCGGCCAGGCCAAACAGGAAGCTCTTGCGCAGTCTTCAGCCTGTCTCCATGGGATTCAGGGCAACAGGAAGATGTCTGGGCCCCAGGGAACGGCCAGCCACCAGGGCCGCGGGCGAGCATGGAACAAGCCACACTCTGCTGCTGTCTTCCTAACCCTGGCCAGCCTGGTACACCACAGCCGAGACCTCCTCCCAGCATGCTGGGCTCTGCCTGGGGACCACTGCCCAGGAGTGCGGCTGGGAGGACCTGGAGGCTGGGCAGGAGGCAGTAGCCTCCATGGCTGGGATGGGGTGGCTGGGGCCGTCCCCATGCTGCGCTCAGGCCCCACCTTGCTGGATGTTGTCCCCACACTGCACTCATTGGCCTGCAGGAGCCAGGCCCCACCTTGCTGGATGCTGTCCCCACACTGTGCTCAGGCCCCACCTTGCTGGATGCTGTCCCCACACTGCACTCATTGGCCTGCAGGAGCCAGGCCCCACCTTGCTGGATGCTGTCCCCACACTGCGCTCAGGCCCCACAGGAGCAGGAGCCAGGCCCCACCTTGCTGGTTGTTGCTACTCAGCATGCTGTCCCAGGCCTTGAACTCCTCACGGACCTTGTGGTACATGCGTGTCTCCTTGCCTTGTACAAGCTCCTCCGCCTCCACCAACTTCTCAATGTCCTTGTTAAACAACTTGACTTTCTGCAAACGAGATCCAGTTGTCACAGGAGGGGCTGCTAGGGGCTTCTTCCTACTCCACTCTACCACCTTCCTCCCTGGGTGCCCAGGGGCTGGGCAGCTGGGGCAGAATGGGGGCGGTTCCTAGTTCCAACGCAGGCAGGAAAGCTGGGAAGCCCCAACCCTGCCGTGTGTAGGGCCCGTACAAGCAGGGGTGCAAACAGTTGCTCTCCCACAGCCACTTGGCTATTTGCTGCAGCATTGGCAGCCGTCCAAGAGAGGCCCTTTGGAGATGCATTCAATTTCTGGTTCTTTTGAGTCCCAGCTGTGGTGGTCTCTGCAGGGCCGGCTTTGGGCAGCCTCATGCGGCACACACACAGGCGCCAGGAGGTCCTCCAGGTCCTGGGGCCACGGCAGGAGAACTTGGTGCCCCAGGGTCCCCGAGCATCCCAAGGTCATCCGTACCTTAATCAGGAAGAGAATCTTGTCGACCTCCAGCTTGGGGATGTCCTCCCCATACTGGCACAGTTCCTCAGTGGCCTGCTGGTAGCGCTCTCTTATCTGGGTTTCCAACAGCGGCAGGGATCTCTGCACAAAGGGATTGCAGAGGGTGAGACCTGCAGCCAGGAGCGCTGGGGGAGCCCCCATGTGGCATGCCCGGAGGCAGGTATGCGGGTACTCCCAGTGTGAGCACACAGGGGCCGCCCCAGCTCTGGGTTCCTGCTGTTTGAGCTGTGTAGCAGGGTCTGAGGAATGTTCAGGGAAGGCCGGTGCTGTGGTGTATCAGGCTAAGCCTCTACCTGCGGGGTTGGCATCCCACAGGGGCGCTGGTTCAAATCCCAGTTGCTCCATTCCTGATCGAGCTCCTTACTAATGTATTGGGAAGACAGTGGGGATGGCTCAAGTCCCCACACCCACATGCGAGGCGCCGAGGGGCCTCCTGCTCCAGCCTCGGTTGTAGCCACTTGAGGAATCAACCAGTGAAAGATTCTCTGTGTCTCTCTGTAACTCTAACTTCCAAATATTTTGGAGTACCCCACTTCTCAGCAAGGCTCGGGCTGCCAGTTCCTTTCAGTTAATGGGGGTGTGGCTGTGGTGGCCTTTGTGAGATGACTGTCTCACAATGCTCACTTCTCACGGCTTGGGGCTGGGATGGCAGCTTTCACACCAGGAGGCGTTGCAGCCCCAGTCACTGTGCCCATGCCAGTGTGCGCTGTGGGCACCTATGCCAGCTCCACACTAGGGGGCACCCAGGGGCCGGCGGCACACTCACTCTGATGTGCATACTGAGTTCCTTGGTCAGTCTCTTGGCCAGGCAGGGCACCGTGGCTTGCCCGTCTTCCAGGAGGACTCTGAAAACAGAGGCGCGCATGCGTGAGTCGGGGAGGCCGAGCTGGGTGGCGGGGCTTCGTGGGACGGCAGGGATGTTCAGCCCCCGGAGGCTCATGGGTGCCAACAACAAAGCCTGGAGCGAGTGAGAAAGGCAGCAAGACAGCAGGTAGAGAGGGGGCGCGAGTGCACAACCGGGCAGGCCTGGTCTTGGACACCCCATTACATTGGGGCCGGCTTAGTTTGTGCAAATCTGTTCTATGGGGTGCACAAAACGGTGGACACAGCTGTGGACACATCTCTCCATCTCCCAGGGTGTGTCCCCACGGCTAAGCCATGCTCGCTGCATTTCATTCATTGCCATGGGGTCCATCCAATGCTTGCTTTGCCGGGCATCACACCACAGGCTCTGTGAATCTGCATGTGGCATGTGGTCCTGGGAGGGGCAGCCAGGCTCCCAAGAGCACATAGGTAATGGGCAGCAAGTTCACTACCCTAGGCTAATTCACCGTTAGCCTGCTACGTCTCTAGAGAGCAGCGGTGGCTTCTGCCCTCTTACCTGCTCTCATTGTCCAGCCATAGGAGGTTCCCGGAGGAGGTGGGGGAGCGAGCAGTGTGATCCCATATGAGCAGTACCAGGGCCCCCGCCAAGGGCAGTTTCTCGGTAGGGTGATTTCAAGTCAACCGCCACCCATCACTGTGCAGAGGAGTGGGAGGAGAGGGTCCCTCGTGTGCATGGACCACATACGATGGCAAACTCGGGCTGCAGGAAGTTTCCAGATCTTTCTCCAATCTTGTCTGTTTATCATTTGGCCTCCTTCCCTCATCTATGAACATGGGAAGACCTGGGGCTGGTGCCGACTCTCAGTCTGCAATGCTGGCATCCCACATGAGGATGCTTGTTCGAGTCCCGGCTGCTCCACTTCCCATCCAGCTCCCTGCTTAGGGCAGTGGAAGGTGGCTCAAGTCCTTGGGATTCTGAACCCACAGGGCAGACCTAGAAGAAGCTCCTGGCTCTGGATCAACTTATCTCCAACTGTTGTGGCCATTTGGGGAGTGAACAAGACCTCTTTCTCTAAACATTTTCAGGAAAAAAAAAAACCTTTAAAAAAGATATTTCACCTTGAAAAGAAAAGGCCAGGGCTCGGCAGGTGCTCACCTGAAGTATGGATGCGTTTGGAAGAACTGCATTTCTTTCTTGATCGCCTCAGCACAGGTCAGTTCGTTGAGGATCTCCTGCTGGGCCCGGCACCTCACCATCATGTAGCCCTTCTTGAGGTGGTACGTGAGGTTTTGCATCACCTGCAGGATGCCGGTCTCGGTGCCCCTGTCCACGAGATCTGGTTTGGTCAGGACTCCTGTGAGAAGGGCAAAAGGATGCAAGGATAGGCTTGGCTCTGCACCCACAGACGTGGGCACTGCCAGGGCCCTGGGCTCCTGTTGGGGTCAGGCCCCGCCAGGGACCTTCTGTAGCCGGACCCTCCTGTGCTTGCCGGCCAAGCAGCATCTCCAGGCCCCTCTTCTCCCTGTGTTGATTGGAGCCCGCCCACTCAGCCTTGCTCACCTGGTATGTGTGCCAGGCTCTGGGGCAATGGGGACCATGCCAGGGTCAACCACCCAGCAGTTTCCTGGAATACTTACCTGCTCCTGCTGCCAGGGGTTCCTGCGCGGACCCCACCCTGCCCTGGATCCCCTCCCTCCTGGGGTCCCACCTTGCCCGGACCCCCACCCTGTCCTGTACCCCCATCCTCCCCAGGCCGCCCTCCCTCCCCGGACCCCCACCCTGCCCTGTACTCTCTCCCTCTCCGGACTCCCATCCCCCCCGGACCCCATCCTCCCTGGACCCCCATCCTCTGCACCACGTGGGGCTCCTGTTTTGTTCCTGTCCTCCCCACCTTTGTCACCCTCTCTATCACCCCCATTTTGAGTTGAAAGTTTGTATTTCTGAATGTGCAACATTGTGCTTTTAGTTTCTGTGAGAAACCCCAACACCATCTCCTGTCTTGTCTCTCTTCCTACTGGTTGGTGAGATGTGGCCATCTGGTCTACCTCTACCCGGCACTTGGAACCATGGCTGAGCATGCATCTTCATTTCGCTCTAATCACAAGTTGTCTGCTTGTGTAGACCTCAGGACTTCAGCGAGTAGCTGAATTCAGAATGACACTGCCACAGTTACTGGGAACTGCATCTACCGCGTTCACAGGGAGCGAGGGGACCACTGCCTCTCAGTAAGAGTAGGCCTGAGTTTCCACAGAGATGTTAGCAACCACCTGGGCAGGTGGCACTGTCCATCGTGGCTGCCAGGGATGCCCCACCACACCCCCTGATTCCACGCAGCCACAGCAGTGCCCTCGCTCACCTATGGTCCGGTCCCCGTCGGGGTCCACCTCCCGGGCCATGCTCAGCGCCTCCGTGGTGGCGATGTCCACGTTGCAGGGCACCACCACCAGGTTGATGGTCTCCTGCCTCTGGATGTACTTCCGGATGAGCGCCTTGATCTGAGGCGGGAGAAATGCAGTTACGTGCCCCACGTAGTCAGCCAGAGGACGGGGCGTGGTGCGTGGCATCCTAGAACAGGATACCAGTCTAGCTGCCCTGCTGGCCTGCTCCTGCTGCCTCCCTTTCCCTGGTCCCTGAGCCAGGGTGCCACCTCTGGCTGGTTATGAGGACCGACAGGCTCCTCCCAGGGTGCCGGAAGGACTGGGGGCTGCTTCAGCTGGGCCCGCCCTCCCCCTGCCAAATTCCCGAAAGGCTCACCTGCTTGCCAATGTCCTGGGGCTGATTGCCCACGGGCAGCCTGGCTATGCCGGGCAGGTCGATGAGGGTCAGGTCAGGCACCTCGCCCGACGTGATCTCCAGGGAGATGAGCTCATGGCTGATGCCCATGTCGCTGCCAGCGATGATGTCCTGGGCTGCAGAAGCAGGGTGGGGTTGGCGGGCAAGAGCCCAGGGCCTGCTCAGTGATGCATCAGAGCAGGGAGACCCCTGAGGCTGCTCCTGCCAACCCCCCACCCCCCCGCCGGAAGCTAGGGATTTGCAATCTAGGGGTCCCTGGGGCTTCTGTATTGGGGTTGTGTTGGTGAGAGGTCATCTGTATAGAGAGCAGATGCCCCAGAGATTGGCTAAAGACCTCTAAACTTGGACTTGGGAGTGTACTGTTTGGGAAGGCCTTGAGCTGGTGCTCCTTACTGGGGTCTCCTGGGGCATCGCCTGAATGTGGGGGCAGGGACTGGGCAGAGTGGGAGCAGGGAGGGAACCCCAAGGTGCTTAGGGGGCAGTTCCAGCATCTGGGCCAGGCAGCCTGGGGACTGGCAGGGGGTGCCAGGTCCCCCAGCCCACACCATAGGGCTTGACTGTGGACTCCAACAGCAGTGGAAATTTCTGGTACTCAGCTGTGGCTGAGCGCAAGGCCAGTCATCTCCATTCACTCACTGCTTATGGGAATGGGAGTTGCAGAGGCTGCACAGGCAACTGTGGGCTTTGGCTTAGGTAGAAGCAGGGACTGAGGGAGAGAAGTGTGCTCCACCCCAGCTGGCCCAGGGACTACCTGGGAGAGCTTTCCAGAGGAAGACAAGCGAAGATCCAAAGAACCAGAGGCAATAGGCAGGAGGGGCAGAGGAGGTGGGCATGGGTGGGACAAGCCTACAGGGAAGATGGCATGCTCGTTGGCAAGAATGGAAGCCCTGAGCTGGGCAGAAGAGAGTAGAGGCAGCAGGGCCGGGCCAGGGCACTGAGGGAACCCTGGGTATGCAGCGAGGGTGGGACAGCAGGGCTGGGAGAAGTGATGCCAGCAGGGAGGTTGAGCCCTGTCTGGGAGGTGGGTGACCCTCAGGACCCGGGGGCTGCAGATGCCATGAGGGCCCCACCTTTTCGGATCTCTCTCTCCACATGCGAGGGGTCCTTCAGCGTTAGCCGCACTCCCCGGTAGCTGATTGTCCCATTCCAGGCCTGATCCCACGGCTGCTTCTTCATTTTCAGCTCCAGAGGACACCTGGTGATGATTCCTGAGACAGGTCCCCAGCACTCTAAGTCTCCTTTCAGATCAAGCATCTCCTCCTGGCCCTTTTAATTCTGGGCCCAACAGCACCTTACTAAACCTGATCTTTGCTGCTGCAAGAGAGGCCTGGGCGGGGTCTGGCAGGTGCACAGAAGCACAGGTTTCGGGATGTGCTGGGGCCGGCTGGAACCCCTTGACCTCCGACCACTATTGGGGTCGCTGCAGGTTTCAGGCTGGAGCAGCGTTGAGGGGCTCTGAGACCCTCAGGCCTCTGGGTCTGCCTGGGATTGATCCGTGGAGAGCCGGAGTGGAGGGGTCAAGCCTCTCTCTGCAGAGGCCACTCCCCTGGGGAGCCCTCCCCTGCCTGTACCCCTGGGAACCCCTTTGCTAAGCCCTCTGCAGCGTCCACCCTCTCTTCCTTCCCCGTTAACTGTGTTTTCTTTAATGACCAGCGACAGCAGCTTCCCCCTGCACACCCCCTTCAGCGTGTTGGCAGGAGATGCTGTGTCCTGGTCGGAGTCACCCGGCCCAGCAGCTGTGCAAACGGCCAACACGAATGTGTGCACAGAGCTCATGCCTCCTCCAAAACCTGCCAGCTGCACTGTCCCACGGAGCCCACCAAGGGGAGAGACGGGGAGAGGCAAGGACCCTGCCCCTCGCACCCCAAACTCCGCATCCCTGGGGTGCTTTGTGGCTGGCGGGGCTCTGCCACTGGCCTTGGGGTCCCACTGGCCACCGCACGTACCGCTGCCTCTGGGGAGGGCCACGCCCGACAGAGCCTCCAGCACGGAGCTCTTGCCAGAGCTCTGGTCCCCGATGACGGTGATGGCGGGCAGGGCCAGGTCCTGCTCCACGCCCAGGGCCCGCAGGGAGTCGATGAGGTCGATGCAGGGGCGCACCTTCTGCTCGTACACGTTGTACAGGTTGCACTCGGACTCCTGGAGGAGACAGGACACATTGTAGTTGGGAGGGCTGGGACAGGTGGGCACTGCTTGCTGTAGCGGGGGGTGGCGGGGTAGGATGTGCCAGGACGTGGATGGAGGTACATACGAGCACTTCCCTTTGCTCAGGCACTAAGTGGAGGAGGAGTTGAGTGAAGCCAGGCAGGAAGGGGTTCCAAAAGCTCCCAGCTGGAGGAAGGAGATGGGTTGGGCCTGAGGCTGGCACAGCTGGCTGGAGCTGTGCTGGTGGCTGGAGGAGAGCCAGGCACAGAGTAAAAGTCTCCAGGTACTCTCTCTCCCTTGCCTTCTCCGCTGCCATGGCAGGACCCAGCTGAGCTCTGGATGTGAGTGGGGTAGGGGATGCTGGGGCCGGTAGCCATGCAGCGAGAGGGCAGACCTGTGGTTGCATCCCTGTGGTGGGCTTCCTCCCCAGGTGTCCCTTCCCCAACCCACCTTGGCCTTCGGGGTCTGCTGCTCGCTCAAGCTCAGAAAGCTGATGTTTTCAGGGAGGGGAGCAGGGACATTCATTTCCTTCAGCCAGGGTGGGGAAGACTGCACTTCTCTTGACATTGGGACAAACGTCTGGTCCATGGGCCGTAAGAATGTTGTCTCTTGCTCGGGGTGCTGCTGGGAGCGGGGGGAACTGTGCTTCCTTTGCTGTTGGATCCTGTGCAGCTTAGACATTGGCCACGTCTGTGTCACAGCCTCCACTCAGGTCCTCCAACTTCCTCCTGTTGCTCTGCGGACACAGGTGAGAGAGGCCCCATGTCACCTACCTGACTCGGTGCCCCCTCCTTCTCACACACGGAGGAGGGGCTCTTGGTAGCCCCCCAAGCCCAAATGGGCTGTCTACAGGCCCTGGGCAAGATGCTGGGGGCAGTAACTCCGCACTCTCCAGGGACAGCGTCTTGTCCTGGGCCATGGCACCGCTGGGCATTGGCTCCCGGTGGCTCAAAATGGGCAGGAGAACGAAGGGAGTGCCTCTCAGAGCAAGCCACAGCCAGCCTGTGGGCAGTGCCACAGCGGGGCGCAGATGAGCTCTGCCCCTGCACTGCCTCCCTGTAGAGTCCTGGCTACGTGCTGGCCTCCCCAACACCCACAGCTCATGCGACCCGTACCTCAGCTTGCCTTGGCACCTCCCAGGGCCCTGAGCCCCGAGACCACAAGGCAGACTCCTGCTGTGACTCCCACACCCCACCTTGGCACTGCCACCGTGTGAATCTAGAGGGCTAAACGGCACCCCAGCTCCCCACAGGCATGGCTGCTGGACCAGCCATCCTGCTCATGGGTGCTAGGAGGAGGGTGCTTTCCTTGTTCAGAAGTTTGCACGCAGCCTCTTCCGAGGGGTCCTGCTGCCAGCCCCTTCCAGAGGCTCGGCTGTCGCACAGGCACGAGCTGGCTGGGCTCACAGCTACCCCAGACCACAGCTCCATCCCATCCTTGGGCTCAGGAGCAGCTCGGGGTGTGTGGCTCCACCCTAGCCCCCTTCAGTGGCTGACTTCTCCATGAACAGTGAATGTGGCAGTTCCCATGAGCCTTGTGGGCTTTATGGCTTCCTGGCACAACTTAAAGTGTAACCTCCTAGGCCCGGCGGCGTGGCCTAGCAGCTAAAGTTCTCGCCTTGAACACGCTGGGATCCCATATGGGTGCTGGTTCTAATCCCAGCAGCCCTGGTTCCCATCCAGCTCCCTGCTTGTGGCCTGGGAAAGCAGTGGAGGATGGCCCAAAGCCTTGGGACCCTGCACCCGTATGGAAGACCCAGAAGAGGCTCCTGGCTCCTGGCTTTGGATTGGCTCAGTTCTAGCCGTTGCGGCCACTTGGGGAGTGAATCATTGGACAGAAAATCTTCCTCTCCGTCTCTTCTCCTCTCTGTATATCTGCTTTTCCAATAGAAATAAATAAATCTTTTTAAAAATACCAGCTTTTACTACCATATTGTGATTCTGAAATAGTTATTGATATTTAGCAGGGGGTTAGATTATTTTATAGTGGAGACAAAATCATCAATATGAATGTTTCTATCTCAGGAAAACTTTCCTCTTTGGTTTCTGATGACTTATTTATTTGAAAGGCAGAGTTAGAAAGAGAGAGCATGCTCACTTGTGTGTTTAGGTTCACTTCCCAGTGGTCACAATGCCTCAGGCTGGGCCAATCTGAAACTAGGTCGGCCACGTGGGTGCAGGGATCCAAGCACTTGGGCCATCCTCTGCTGCTCTCTGGCGAGCCAGCAGCAGTCCCGGGAGCTGGATGCGCGTGGAACAGGCGGGACTCGAACTGGCACCCTCATGGGTTCTGGTATCACAGGCAGTGGCTCAACCTGCTAGGCCTCAACTGTTTTCTCCTGATCCAGACGGAGTCTGCAGGTCTCAGGCCTGCTGCTCGTTGGTGCCACGACTCTTCAGATGGAAGCTGGAGAAAATGTCCTACGTGTGTCATAGAAAAGACAAATGGCAGAGAAATTTGTGAGATCCGAAGCAGTAGACTTGTGTGTAGTCTGCAGGTCTGCACCGGCAGGAAGGATCTGGAACCTGTCCTCCTCAGTGTAAGATGGACTTTTGCTACCGCCAACGTCCCCTCTCAAGGCGGACAGTGCCCGCCTTCTTCTTATCACACCCTAGACTCCCCTTCCCGATGGAGACGCCTCCCTGAGTCCCTCTCGCTGTCAGCGTAGGACGCAAGAAGCCTCACATCACAGGTGAACTTGTCTTCCTGTGGCTGAACCCTGGAGCAGCCTGGGCCTTGGATTTGGCTGGCGGCTTGTCTCCATGGAGCTGCCGCAAAGCAGAAGTGAATGCCTTAACACCTGCACAGGTGCACAGGGAGACAGGCGGGAGTTGGCGGAGTCGCTCCGAGCCTTCACACGGCCCAGCTCCCTGTGAATCCTGCCTGCCGAGACGCTGTGTGGCTGCGAGGGACTCTGGCAGCCCCAGCGGGCTCTGCTGTGCCACCTGTGTGTGTCACCAAGGACTGGCCAGGGTTCACCTTGGGCATCAGATCTCAGCCTCGGAAGGAAATAGGCAACACCCGCCCCCGAGCTCGTTCTGGCCGCCGGCGTAGGAACAGGGTTGCTGGACGCTGAGACACAAACTCCCGGCATTCCTGGACAAGGCCACGGGGGGTCATGCTGGCCTCACAGGACAGCCCGGGGCTGAGGGGGTGGCCTTCATGTCCCTGGGTCTCTGTAGAAGCAGCCTATACAGGTTGACCACAACTGAGGCAAACCCCAAAACCATTAGTAATAAAGTTGAAGATTTTATCCAAATTCTAACAGCCACTCCAGGCAACTGTCCTGCAGAGTCACCTCACTGGCTTCTGCTAAAAGCTAGTCCCAGCTCTACAGGCACAGGTGCCAGGCTGTGGCCTGCTGCTGTTCCTCATGGGGACTGAGCACTGGGATGCAGACACAGCCGCTCGCGAGGGAAATGGGGACAACATAGACGCATGCACGGACAGGCTCCCCCAGGGTTGGCTCCCAAAGAACGCATGAGGGGCTCTGCTCTGCGCACAGCTCCATTTGCCCCACCTTGTCTGGGCAGAGGTGTGCTCAGCCTGGCCCCAAACCACAGTACACCTGGGGCTTCCTGGCCTCACTGTTGGGGCCTCAGTGCCTCTCCTGTCCCAGGCTCCAGTGATCCCCAAAGGCTTTCCTGGTGCAATTTCGCCAGAAAAGGCAGAGCCGCAGTGGTGTGGTCTTTCATCTCTGCCTGGGATTGCCAACTCAGCCGTCTCGCAAGTTCCTTCTGGCCACAGGGACCCCAGCCCAGCAGGGAGCATGCCCAGGGCTCTGCCCCCACACCCTGTCACCCGTTGCCGTTGGCAATCTTCCAGATAACCTCTTCAGGATGTGCACTCCGAACTTGGAATTTTTTCTCCTGGCTTCAGGAGACCCAGGAGGCCAAGGACTTCTGGAAGCTTCCAGACATCCCCGTGGGACTGTCTGCTCCTGGACCATGGTAGGCGTGGGTGTTGGTGCCTGGCCAGCCCTGGCTACAGAGGGCTGATGCCCAGGTGGGCTCTGGCTGCAGCATGGCCTGCATGAAGCTTGGGGGTTCTGCTGGGTCTGAGCCAAGCTACCATCAAGAAAGTTGGGGGCCTGCAGGCTTGCAGCGATGCCTCCCTGGCAAGGGCAGGAACTGCTCTAAGCCCCGGCAGCCCGGTGCCCTTAGTCTAGCTGGGACTTCGTGAGCAGCTTTCCTACTGGCCGGCCCTATTCGTGGAGGGTGCCCTCCTGGGCTCTGCCCTTGGCACGAGCCTCCTGCTGTTTCCCAAAGGGCCACCCTGCCTGGGGCTCGGCCTCCCACATCTTCTCCACTTCGCAGCCTGGAGACGTTTCAGGTGGAGACGGTGCTTCTGCAGGCCGGCCTCCCGACACCCCTGTCCCCCACCTTCACGCACACACTGCCAGGAGTGCCGCCTTGCACCCTCAGGTCCAGCCGCAGCAGGCTCTGCTGCCATGCTCATTGAAACACTTTCTTCCAGCACTTTCACTGGCACTTTCAGGCGTCCACAAGAGCAGAGGGACCCCGACAGCAATTGTGTGAGATAGGGGCACCATGAGGCTCTGTAAGGTTGGTACAAACAGATGCCACCTCTGGTGAGAGCCATCCCAGCTGGTGTCTCAGGTGGATTTGCTGGCTGAGGGAGCCAGCGCCCTCTGGGATATATCAGGATTCCCATGGCAACTCCCAGGGCTAACCTTGATCTTGCTCCCTGCACTCCCGGGGCAAGGGGAGTTCTATGCGCAATTCAGAATCACTTGACTCCCGCCCCTCCCTGTGGCCATTTCAAATTTCCCCACACCATCTCCCTCATCAAGCAATGAGACGCCTGCAAGCTTGGGTTGTTGGGGCTGGGGCCTGGGCTGCTGGGTAAAATAAAGGGGTGTGTGTGTGAAGGCTGGAGGTGGGTGTGAGCTGGGAGTGGCCTCTGAGAGGAAGACCCCACCCCTTCTCCTCACTGCTGCCACAGAGGCCTGCTGGGTAAGGAAAGCAGGGATTGGGTTGTGTGGCCGGAACCTCTTGAACCCTCCGGACCCTTCGGGTGCAAGAGGCTTCTGGAGGGAGCCTATGTCTGGTAGGCATGTGGGAGCCAGCGACAGGTGCACAGGGTGCACGTGGGCTGCATTTGACTGCCAGGGAATGGATGTTGCGTGGCTCAGGCACAGGGACTGTGCCCCACCCTGCTGGGTGGTCCTGGGAACCCACAGCCCTGCCCTGTGATGTCACCTCCAGTGCTGTGTCTCTGTGCACACATGGGTGTGGGCGGTCACGGGGCCAGCAGAGCCTGCAGGCGGGGACAGGGAGAGGAAGTGGACTAGCAAGGAAGCAGCTTGTGAAACAACAGGATAGAGACCAAGAAAAGCCCAGGGCTGGGGACAGGGTGACTCCTGGGATGGGCAGCGAGGCCTCAGAAAAGGCAAAGCCTGTGGGACTGCCTTCTGCCCCTCCACTTAAACCCTGACCCCTGGAAGCTTGGTGCTAGGTTCAAGGTCAAGGCAGCCAGGAGAGGAGGGAGCTGCCATAGGCTGGCCAGGAGAAGGCTGAGGGAGGAGGAGCCGCAGTTCAGAAAAGCCAGCACCCTGTCTAGGATGGGCCGGCCTTTCTCTAACACGGCTGCTGGAAAGTGCCTGTGAGCTGCAGGAAGCCGGGCTTTAGGTGGGAAGGGCACCTGCAGGCTGCTCTTCATCTCACTGTGCCATCTGAGGGGCAGCCAGAGGTCAGCTGGGCACCTTCCTGCCTCACTGACGCCTTCTTCTGGGTCCCCTTGGCACCATTTCTTTGACCAAACAGCCCCCTTGGGTCCAACAGGTGTTAGCAAAAAATGATCTCTGCTTGCTTCATTTTTACAAAATGTTTTGCATGATTGCTCTTAAAAATGTGCCCACTGAATTATGAATTTTTTTTCACTGGCAAGGGTCTGGCTGTGGCTTCCCTGTCCTAAGGAACCACACAGCCTTCTTCTGCTGAAAGGAAGGGAGACCACCGTCCTACCCAGCCCTGGCTGGGTATGAGGAGGCTCCAGGTCGGTCCCAGTGGGCCAGCGTCTCCTTAGAACTCTCTGGACACAGCTCTCCCTGCATCCCCTCCCCAGCCC